GACAATGAGCATCTTTTTATGTGCCTATTGGTCACCTATCTGTCTTCTTGGGAGAAGTGTCTGATTAGATCCTCTGCCCATTTTTTAATCAGGCTGTTATAAGTTCTTTATTTTTTGGATATTGACTCTTTGTCTGATGTATGGTTTACAAATATCTTCTCCAATTCAGGCATGGGAGGTGCCATGAAAATGCCTTTTCATTTTGATGATAATTTCTTTCATGTGCAGGAGTTTTTTAGTTTAATGCAATCTCATCTTTTTTTGGTTTGTTTTTGCTTTTGTTTCCCTTGCCATTTGAGTAGCAACCACAAAGACATCACCAAGGGTGATGTCTCAATACCCATATTCTTAACTATGAAGCTAAATTACCCCCTGTTTCTCAGTATAAAAGCCTATTTTTAGTGATTGTCTTTCTCACATTAGTTGCCTCAAATTCATTTAGGGTAAGGGAGAGGGTTTAAATTTAATAGTAAATTCTTAATTTTGAAAAATGAGTAGAAAATGCTTTTAGTTTTTTTCCTTTCATTCAAAGATTCTGTATTTTATTGATTTTATTTTATGTGATTTTATATGATATTATAATACTACTATTATAGTTTTATAGGCAGTTCCAAAATATGTGACTGTTTTTGAAGACCCAACAGAGAAGGTACATCAGCTCCGAAATGATGATGTTCTGAGAGAGACTTAGGTCAGAAGAGGTTTAAAAGAATATGGATACAGTTCTTTATTGTGTTTTTGTGGAGTTGTTTTTTTTTTTTTGTAGTTTTGTCTTATGCTTGATAGAAGGCATCTTATGTAAAATTAGTGAAATACAATAGGGTAGACTCAAGTAAGGTAAGGTATATAATAACTGGTCAGGTGGGGAAATGATATTTGAAGTCTTCCTAAAATTGTCTCTTGTTCTTCTTCTTTGCTACCACTTGGCGGTTTTCTTAGGTCCCTGGACCTATTTGGGCTGGGGAGAGCAACAGAGTACGTAAGAATTTAAATACGTTATAATATTCTTCATCGTACCCTTTAACATAGTCCCTCTGAACTGTGAAGCTGGATATTCATGCATACAAGCTTATATAATTTCATTCCACTCTCTTCCCCTAGTTCTCTCAGGAGACAATTACCTCTAATAGAATGTTGTATCTTTTCATACTGGTTTCTTGAACAATTCCTATATGTGTGTATATGATAAATTTTAAGCCAAAATCTCAGTTTTAACCCTGACAGGATCTCCTGATTATTAGTCCCCTGAGACAAGCAGTACCATCAACTTCCCAGTGTAGGAAATCTCCTTTGGTCACTTGGCTAAGAAATGCAATGACCAGAAGATTTGGTTTGGAAAAGACCATTGGTTTTCTGACGTGAACAAGAGGCTGAAAACGTCATTTGGCTTTCCTTAAAGTAGCCCAGTTAGGCTGGAGACTAACTTGGTTCTAGAATTGAGAGAGAAGGCAGCCAATCCTTGCCAGGGAGAAACATAGCCCGAGGGGAAACTACTGGCTGTGTTACCCATGTGACTGGGAGTCTGATTAAGACTCTGTGATTCGGTAACCAAATTGTGCTAAGAAAGGCCAAATTTTATCCAGTCACTTGAATTTCTCATGAGCATGTGCTTTCTGTGATTTGAATCCTGAGTATTTCCTCTAGGGAACTACCCAAAGGCAGCCTAAGAGAGCTTAGATAACTTACTTTTTAAGTAGAAAAAAGTGAGCCCTGGAGATGGGGGGTTGGAGGATTGAATTCTCTTCCCTTTTCGCTGCTAAAGTTTTAACTGTACTCTGGGTTTAAAGACAGGGACTCAACAGGGACTCAATCTAGGAACACACTTGTCAGTCTCATTGTTGAGTATTTCACTCAACTTTGAGCCCTTCTTCTGTGTCTGGGCCACAGATTAGATTTTTGACCCAGATTACTTTCCCCACCGTGCTTTTCCAAGTTAATCTTCTCTTCCATGTATCTGCCAAATGAGCAACATGTTTCTCATTATGGAAAGAAAAGAGTCTTTCCCAGTATTGAATCTTTAATCACGCCATTATTTTTATCCAGATTCTAGAAGGTATTTCTCCTCCCTCTGCTGTCTTCATCTATTGAAAACCCACCAGTTTTTCAAAACCATCTTGTTCCTAAAACTCCTTGTTTATCCTACCAGAAAGTGATCTTTTTTTCAATTCATCTAGTATTTAGTTTGTACAGTTCTCATGATAGTTACTTCATTTTTACTTCTGTTCATATCTTCTCTTTCCTAGACTCCTTGTAGGCACTCAAATATGTAAATGAGTAAATTTTCTCAGCCATTTAATGTTCTATCATTCAAATAGACTACCAGAGGCTCTCAACTTTTGCCCTCAGACTAGCTCATAAGTCCCTCCTTGGTCTGAGTAGCCAAATCTGCACTCACTTCTCTTTTGAAGCAGGAATTTTTATTCCAACCAGTTCTGTTTCACTGAGCTAGTAGAGCCTGTAGGGCAGAGAATAGAGCTGGTAAGAAAGATTGTCACTGCCACACTAATAGCAAGTGTTATTCTCCTTCAGGTTTATTTTGTTTTTTGCTTAATTTACCTTTTCAGGTGCTAAATCATCTTTGGTGGTGCCAGGAAGCTTACTTTCTAAGGAAATTGGGGGTAGGGTAGGAAAAGAAAAGAAAATCTGGCCTTCATCTTCTCCCTACCTTTTTTCCCTGTTTCTTTCCTTTGTCTCTTCCCACTTCCTTGTCTTTCCTGTCCCTTCCTACCTTTCATGTTCTATTCTCAACCTCCTCTCTCTATGGACACTGTGTTTCCTAATATTTGTCCTTTGCTTCTTTAGTATACAAATTTCCCTGTAGGGGAATTTTAGAATATTCCTCCCATTAGCCTAGCAAAGTAAAAAAGTAGAGCATTATGTAGGAGTAGTAGGTCATATGCAGAGAAACTAAGGATCCATCCATGTAGTTTCTCTCTGTGTATCATGGTCTCCTGACTCTGATTAATTACCCTCTTCTGACCCTCATAATCAACAGAATTGTTTGCTCCCTCTTTGGAGACTCCTCTTTGTTCTTTGGGTTATGTAGTAAAACCCACCTGCTGGAGTTGACTTTTGGTTTTGTCTCTTGTTGCCTCTGCTTCCTCAACCATATGCAGGAATAATCCAGCTCTGATATCTTCACAATCCTTTTGTGGAATGAGAAAGAATACTGGGTTTTCTACCCTGATCCTTTCTTTTAGGTCTTTAGAACAACAAATGCATAATGATATAAAACCAGTGCATCCAAAGTCTCTTTTTCTTAATTGTGTTCAAAAGACTTTGTAAGCAGAATGCTGTGCATATCCTATTGTTTGCTTTTATTTTCCATCTTGACTGTGTGTGCCCTTGCTTTATTGGCAAGTGTTACTGATACTGTCCTTAACCATTTGAAGGTTACCCTCTTTCTTATATTGATTTCTACCCTCCAACCCCCTGCCCCCGGAGTTCTGATCACTCCCTTTTTCACATTTTACTATAAACTCAAATGGGAAAAAAATCATTGGATCTTCTTACCCTTACTCCTACCCTAGACACTGTTGTAAATTCAAATGGGTAAGTCTCATAAAATCTTTTATTCCTAATCCCACCTGTACCCACAATTCTTGTCTGGAATCCATATTTATATTTTCTTCCTTGCTTGTAAAATCCACGTTTTGTGCCCTCTCTCTCTTTTAGTAGAATTATTATTTATCAGGTTGTCTAACATAGATTCCAGTGGGTCATTTCCCAATTTTACCTTCTACTTGTCCCCAAGAGGGACAGTCTGTCTAGATTTTATTTTCTAGTTCATTAACTTTTTCTTATTTCTACTACATGTAAAGCTTATGCTTATGCTTTACATGAGTAATTATATGGTCTTCAGGAGGCTTCTGCTGCCCACATTATTACCAAGGTTATCTTTTAAAACTGCTCCTAATATAAGGATTCCATTAACTGATAAAGTACCCTTTTTTTTTTTTTTTTAAAGCATGGTGAATGTTCTTTTTCCTTGTTGTGAGCCCATAGGAACTTGGCAAGTGAGGAGATATGGGACCTTGTTACTAATACACATATGGGGATGGTGTCAGAAATCTCTTCTCTATAAGATAATCTACAAAACACTATTAGGTTGAATACCCTTCTCAAGCACAGTGTTGCACATTTTTAGTTTTGCTTGGAGTGGGATTTGTAACTGTGGTCATTTTAGCTAAAATTAAGGACAAAAGTGTAGTCAGTAAGGTGCTGGCCTGAAGAGCAAAAATAATGCTATGAAATGGTAGTACTTGCTATTAGCTAAACTTGACTGCATTGTCAGCAAGATTCCATTGGCAGTGATGTGTTTTCCTGTTCTCCTTTAGCCCATACTTTGAATGGGAGTCCTGAGTCCAGGGTTAGGTCATTGACAGGAATCGTTAAAAAACAAAAATAAAAATCAATGCTGTAGCAAGGCAGTAGGCCTGCTGCTGTTCTCAGCTGCATCAAGAGCTTTTGACTTGACTTCTTAAGCCTTGGCTTTGACCATCCAGATTTCCTGGATCAACTTCCCATATTGGCCCTGCTTTTTAGGTTCAACTGTGCATTTTAAAGTCTGAACACACCAAGCTAACTTGAAGCAAAAATTTCTTTTTTCTAAAATATAGAAAAACTTTTTCCCTTCCACCTATTTTTGATAATAGAAGACCAGGATCTGTTTATGAAATCTAAACCCATGTTTTCATTAAGTTTATAGTAGCTAGGGAATCAGAATTCCAAAGAATTATAAATTGGGAAAAGGCATCTTGGAACTCATTTAAGAATTAACACTAAAATTAATTCAAATGCCTTATCACTTTTGAAAAGAAAGAGACTTGTATGTGTTAATTGAGGCAGTTTTGCACATGGCTTTGAGGTCACTGGGCTCAAGTGCAATTGGGTTTGCTTTTGTTCTCAAGATCCAGGCTAGTGACTTACCTAATCAGAAGCAGAAAAAAAATTGAAGAACTAAATAAAACTGGAGTGTTTTGACTGTGCTTATTCCACAGCTTTTGAAGATGCTGATAGTGCCGTGGATGACAGAGATAGTGACTATCGCAGTGAGACCAGCAATAGCATTCCACCTCCTTACCATACCACTTCTCAACCTAATGCTTCTGTGCACCAGTTCCCTGTGCCTGTGCGATTGCCACAGCAGCTGCTACTCCAGGGCAGTTCCAGGGACTCTTGCAATGACTCTATGCAAAGTTATGACCTTGATTTTCCAGAGCGGAGGGCACTCAGGTAGGTATTGGGAACAAAGCATTTTTTTCTTCATAGTAAGCAGTACCAGGGTGCAATTGACAAGTTTTGGGGCACTTTAAGTAATGGTGCAAGTATAGCAGTATGATGAACCAAACCGTAGCCATGCTATGTAGATTCTCAGTCTTTTTTTCTCTTCCACATGTTTACCTTTAGACCTTTCTATCAGTAATAGTTTTCGTATGCTGTTCTTAAGTGGTGATCCATGTCCACTTGTAGTGGATGGATGAAAAAAATCTGCTTGTTCCTTTGCCTAGTCCAGTGATATTTTATATACCTTTCACCAAGATTTAAAAAAGAAAATCACAGATTTAAATGTTGGATAATCTTTCCTACCTAAATATTTCTCTGGAAACTTAGAAGAAAACCAATATGATCTCACTATATCAGATTCCGTACTTTTCTTGGACCTTTAACAATATTTTTATTTTGACATAGCTTCCATAAACATTTTTCCTTTAAAAAATTTTTATTTCTTAAATACGTGAAATATTTACATGGCTAAAAAGAGTTAAGGTACAGTACAACACACAGCCAAAATCTCTGACGCACACCCATATCCTCCTCTATCCCACCCACTTCCGGTTTCCTTTCCACTGCTGTTTGTTGATTAAGTTTCCCTCCAGTGGACTTGTCATATTTATGAGTACAGCAGCAAGTACTTACAAATATGCTCCCTTCTCTTCCCCTTTCTTAATTAAAAATTCAAACCTAAAATTTAGAGAAATAATACAATGAGCATCTATATCCATGCCTAGATCACCGGTTGTGGTTTTTGCCATACTTACTTCTTCTCTTCTCTCTACCATATATTCATATACACATCTTTTGTTTCTGAATCACTTGAAAGTACAGATAACTTGTTATCTCACCAAGAAGTACTTCAACAAATAATTCCTAAGAAAAAAGGACTTTCTCTTACATAACCTCAATACCATGGTCATACTCAAGAAGTTTAATGATGTGATGATATTATTTAATATGTAGATGGTATTTAAATTTTTCCACTTTTCCTAACAATGTCCCATATATCATTTTTTTTCATTTTTGATCCAGGATCCAATGAAGGACCTAGGTGTATTGTACTTTTCTCACACTTCATTATCTGCTTCCAAAAATAAACATGCCAGAAACTCCACTGAAGTTTGTCCCTACTCCTTGTTGGTCTTTAATTGAATGCTTACATAATTTCTTCATTTCATTTTAGTTGTTTATATAGCCCTACTTTAAGAAAAATTATAACAGCAAAATCAAAGCCTTTTCATCTTTCCCTTCCATTTTTACAAGAACTAGATGTGCAGGCCAACAGTAAAAATGGCACATCAACATACATAGCTGTATACTCTTTTCTTCAACAACTGAAGTTTATCTAGTAACTACCTATTATCATTTTATTTCCTGGACTAGTGCTGTAATGACACTGAAGGAACATTAGTGGTATACTTGAAATTGCAAATTATTTCCATACAATTTTTCTTGAATTGATCCTATATAAATTTGACTTGCTGTATTAGTATATGAAATAAGGTGAGAAAGTATCTCAAGAGGAAATGTTAACATGATTTTTAGGTGAATTTTCATTATATATGTTTTTTTACCAGTTTTTGAAATGACTTCTTGAAAAAGTCATGGGAAAATTATATCACTGGCACTGATTTTTAAATGTTTCTACTACTGTCAATACTCAGTTCTTGGGAATAGTCTTTAAGTTAATACAGTTTTTTTTTTTTTTTCTTTTCAAGAAGAATTTTTGGAATGTGTTTTCAGTACCTTATAGTAAATTAGAAGTATAAAATAGCTACATTCATTATACTTATGCCAACCTTTTGATTTAAGTGGAACTATAAAAACTTCTATCCCTCCAGTTAGTTTATTTTGAGTTTTTGATGATACAAGAGAGTAAAAAAACTGCAACTAAGAAACATGTGTTAAATTGGATTTCCTTACTTAACCAAATAAAACAAAAGCTGATTTGCCTGAGTCCAGAATAATAGGAAATTTGTGTGAAACATAATTTGCAGTTTGACAATAGACTTGGACTTTGTTAGATATTATTTAGCTAAGTATCTGTAGCATAGAGAACAGTCAAAAGGATATTAGTCTCATTCTTGGAGATTTTAAGTGACTAAACAAACCTTTTGATTTTGTTTCTGTTTCCTAAATAAATGCTATTGTATTTTAGACCTATAAAAGAATACATTGAACTGACAAATTTCTATTCTGCAGGCTCTCCCTATGCCCCCACCTTAGTGCACAGGAAGCAGGCAGTCTCTAATCTATCTTCAGCTGTCTTCTGTATTCTTTGACTTAGTTGAACAGGTAGCTTCTGCTGTTCTAATCAGTATAGGGAAAGATTTTCATTTTACTGTAAACCTCAATTTATATAGCCTCTAGATTTCACAAACGATGGGTTATTATGCTTTTAACAATTTGCTGATTTTGGTAGTGCAACAAGGTTTGACTTTTGCTGATTGTCAAAGATTACTATTTTATATATGTATTTTTTCTTTTTTAAAGAAATATGTTTGACCATATTCTTGGCAATACAGCTTCAACTCTGACTTTCAGTAAGTTAATAGGTAGGCTTCTTTTTAGACCAAATTCAACAAATTTAGGATACTTGAAATCCCTTGATAGTGTTTATATTATGTACTTCATAATTTTAAACTTTATCTTTGTAAATAAATTATAATTATTGATGAAACATGTTCATTTAATTGTTTGACCCTCAGAAAATAGAAAATTCTTATTTTTATCCTTAGAAAATAAAAGTTCACCAATGAGAAATGCTAGCAAGTGAAGTGATTTGAAGTTATTGTTATAGCTGTTCTTTTGCTGAGCTGGGAAAAAATGACTTAACTTTATTAATTTAAGAACATGTGAATTTCTTTATATTTTTTCAGTCTGTGTGTTTTTTTAAATCACGTTGACAATTTTACTATTCTAGTCTGATTCTCATTGAACATGCACTAAATCTTATAACTTGTTTCTTCCTTTTCCCTGTTTCTCCTTTTTTTTTTTGCCTTACTATTTCTCCAATTTTATCCTTTTATATCAGGCAAAACCAACAGGCTAAAAATAACAAAATTAGGATTATTTCTGCTTTCTCTGATGTTAATTTTGAAGAGCAAGATGGTGTTTATGAGGAGATAGAGGAAAAAATATCACAAGAGTTTCTGGAAAACAGGAACATAAACTTAAGAGAAGCAGAGCTAAAAGGAATTCAAAATCTTTCAAAAACTGATAAACACTATAGCCAACAAGAACAATGAAAGTATAAGAACTGGAAAAATATACCATTTCAGATCCAGAAAACAGAATTATCTGCCTTTAATTTCGATCTTACATTTAAAACACCTGTTTTTTCCAGCTATCCTGAGAAATATAATGCAGTAGATAAGAAAAAAAAGAAATCCTTATACACTCATTTTGAGGACAGTGAAAGAAGACAATGTGATGATAGATCAGCAAGTGAGGCTGACTTCAGAGTAGATATTCTGACACTGAGATTTGTAACCTTTGCCATATTGAAAAGAAGAAACATAATTACCCAGTTTTGTCCCCTTACAAAAATGAATTTGTGGTTAAGAGTGGCATGTTGACCACTAAGTTAGAAAGTCAAGATTGTAATCTCCCTGGTTATTTTGAGTACTATGAAAAATCAAATGGCTTAAACCAGCATATCATTAATTTTACTCCACTGGATATTCTTGAAGATTCTATAAGCAGTACTTCTGATGAACTTCTAGGCTCTCCCATTTCTGATAAGCAAAAATGTTTACTTTCACCAACTTGGCAGCCATCCAATGTCTATCATACTGGAGGTATTCCTGAACACTATTATGTAGCAAACCCAGCAGTTCCATTACAAAAGATAAATTGTGATACAGACACACTTAGAGATTTCTCTGGGTGTACTGTGAAAGAGATGACTTCTTTCTCTATGGAAGAACCCAAGAAGGACTATATTGACACAATGGATGATCTTCAGTGTTTGGTAGAAGCAGTGTCAGAATATTTAGCTGAGAAGGAAGAGGCAATTAATAGATTTGGTTCCCTTTCAAAAACTGAAAAATACTTAAACATAGTAGTACTATTGATAATGCAGAACAGAAAATGTCTGGGGGTCAAATTCTACCTTTAACTGTTGTCAAGAATGATAAAGACAAGGCCATCTCTTTCCCTGAGCTGAAATATGCTGTTGGTTCTCTGTTCATTTCACTCACAGAAAAGGTGGGTTCAGGCACAAGGCATCTAACAGCCTCTGTGCAGAAGCTGGCTTATTCGGTTCCAGAGAAAACAAACTCTTAATCCAATAGAGACAATTAATTCAGTATCTGAACCCAGAGCCAAGTCAGTACTGGAGAAGGATTCTTCCATGCAGTCTCCACTATCCTCTTCTATAGTTGCTAATAAGGATATTAGCAGACATGGCAAAACCTCTGAAAGTGAGCACATAGGTAATAAAGCCAGAAATTTATGCTTTCAGAATGCATCAGAAATCATTGGAGAGGACTCAGCTCCACAGAGTCAGAGTTCGGTGGTAAAGTCTGTTTTCAGTTTGCTAAATCCATCAAAGATCTTTTCAGAAAAGGAGGAAACCAAAAAAGATAACGACCAGAGCAAGCAAACAAACAAGGAAAACTTCACTGAATGTGGTTCAGAGTCAAATAAAAAGAAAAATATCCCTGGCAATGAGAGCATTAGCATTGTCATTTTAGATACTAGTGATAGAGAAACTACAGGCTGGCCCTAAATACCTATGAGTGAGAATATGGTATCTTCCCAAATGACCAATGAACTCTCAAGCCTAGCTAGGTCTACAAGTAATAAGAGAGATGATATTGAGAGTCTGTTGGAAGGAAAATACTGTGCAAATCTGTCTCTGTTACTAGATCAACCAAAAATATGTGCCAAAGGTACTTCAGGACATCCTGTGTAACTGGCAGTGGAAGTGTAAATAAAGAGACTTCTTCAAAGCTACTAGATGGGGGCAGAGTTGTTGCTGGTGGTGATTTCCTTGAACTACTCAGAGAATCCTTTAACTAGTTTCTGATCACTTCCCCTGAGGCCTGTTCAAAGGAAAGTTTATCAGAATCTCTGAAAACTCATCAGTTGTAGGAAGGTAGATGGGGAAGGTGCCCTAAGAAAGGTGGACATTCCTTTTCCTTTAGTAGAAAACTGCATATTCCATTTTTAAGAGTGCCTACTCATTCTGAAAAGCAGCAGGATTTAAGAACGAGTAGAAGCATTTTTCCTTTGTTTAAATTTCCTTTCACTGACAGTCACAGCACTGTCAATGAGCAGAATTTTCATGACACAGCAGTAACCACTGATGAAGAGCTCCAAAGAAACTGCAATGAAAATGCCAAACTTAGTTCAATAAATTCTAGTTCAGTTCCAAACAATGACAACAATTTAGGGAAATTTGGCAATTCAGAGAAATTGCGTAAGAATGATCAAAAAAATTGTCCTGAAGATGCCCAACTTAATATAATAATGTCTGATTCAGTTCCAAATATTAATAATCATCTTGAGAAATTTGTAAGTGTAGAGAGATTAAATCCAGGTGACCATACAACATTAGAAAATTGTGACAGAGATACCTTAGACATCGCTGGAGTTTTGCACAGAGAACATGTACCTTCAGATTCTTCAGGAGAAGATAAGACTTTTACACAAGTGACATCTTTAATAGTGTTGGACTCTTCATTAGCATATGTTTCTACCATTTCAGAATCTGCCTTTGTTAATGAAATTAGTGAAGACCAAGTTGTAGATAAAGCTTCTCAGAAAAGAACCCAAGGAGGCTTCCTTTCTGGCCTGTTTAATGGATTTTCTTCTGAAAACATGTTAAGTCAACAAGAATTAAACTTGAAAAATGATGACTTCCATCACAAGAGTATTACCCCAGGTTTACTCTCTGGAATATTTAATTTGATATCAAATAGCAGGATGACTGATTGTAAACTGGATAAAGCAGCATCCTTGTCTTTAAGTGACATAAAGAGTTTAAATGAAAATAAGCATTTATCCTTGGATGAGATCCCTGATACTTCCTGTGTGACTTCTGAGAACCAGAGAAACCATGTTGAAAAACAGGAAAGTTCTGCCTTCATAAATAGCCCTTTATCTTTACCTAGAGAAAATATACAAGTATCAGATGCTTGGGTTGATAATAATCACTACCCTTCTACATGGAAAAATAAGCAAAATGAAAAGCTTTGCTTCTCTTCTGAGAACAGCATACTTCATTGTGCTCCAAGAGCTCACCAGGACCTCTCAGAGAAACTTTTGACTATGAGGTCAATACCACACCATGTTCTTGAAGCAACACTTAATGAAAATTCGAACAAGTTAAATCCACCTGTATTAAATACTAACATTCTTAATAAATCAAGCCACCATCAGGTATTTGAAGAGATAAACAATCTGTTCTGTTATGAATGGGACTCTGATATGAAAGATTGCTCTAAAAATTCCAGAAAGCTTCGACCAGTTGATTATATGTTGAATCACAATATATATCCATCAGCTCATGTTTTCTTGTGGCCTGACTCAGAAAACCCAGCAATAATTTTTGCCAAAAAGATCAAAATGCAAATATCTTGGAGTGGAGAACAAATTCAAGCAGTGTCATTTGGTGTGACTTGCCATATGAATCATTCGACCAGTTAGCATTTAATGAAGATTACTTATTAAAAGGTGATACGTGGGCAACTAACTCATTATATGGAAATTCTCATCTTCTAATTAATGAGACTAAAAATGTACTAGAAGAATTGCCTATTGACTTAAGTTCTTCAAATTATGAAACTACATGCCCCATAGTTGATCAGGCATCAACAATGGAGGAAAACCTTGTCTTTTCAAGTGTTTGTTATGAATACCAGGAATGGTTGGCATGTCTTGGAGATGGAGTGTGGTGGCCATCAGAGGATGGAGAATATGGATATTATATGTTCCATGATGGTCACTATATCTATTTTTTCTTCACTGATTCTACTGGGCAGTATGCATATATATTTATACCTGATTATTCTTATCAAGAGTATTTGAATTGTGATTTACAGGCAAATGATCTTTCAAGAATTATCTTGGATAACAGCATTATTCCTGCCTATAGTTTTAAAGTACTTAACAAGGAAGATGAGTTATTGTGGTACTTTGAAGAGGAATCAATTGATGGTCCTCTTGATTTATCTGGAGTTTGGCCAAGAAGTGAAGGACCAATGTATCTAGATTTGGAAACTTGTTCACAAGTTCTTGGAGAGTCAAGTTATGGCCAAAGGGATCAACTGTTAGATTTTTCAAGCTATAATCCTCAAAAATTTAAAGGAGATTTTGGCTCTTTCAAAGAAAACCTGTGTGGTCCTGAAGACTTTGAATGTATATTGGATCTCAGGAATCTGCCTGAAACTATTGGTAATCATGTCTTAAATAGAGAGAAAATGATAGAACCAACCTCTAGCTAAGGATTTATCAGTTCACCTTTCCAGTTTCCAGTGGCTTCAGGCTTCATCTGAAGAAGCTGCCTCTTTGGTACATCTTGAAAATATGACTAATAGGTCACAGCAAGTAGATGAAATATCATCATTGAACAAAGTAACTTCTGCTTTGGGTGCCTTGATTGGAAGTACTTTAAATTTTGATAAGAATGAATCCTTAGAATCTTTGGCCATGCAGAAAATAGATCAACAGTCCAAATTAGTAGAGCTCACAAATGATAGTCTTCAGTCATTAAGCTTGCGTAAGCAATTCTCATCCCAAAATGAGAAAGAAAGTTTTTTCCAGAAGGATTCAGAGAGACTGATGTTATCCAATGTTCAGCAAGCTGAATTTACTAAAACTTTGAAACAAGAATTCCCTTTAGATAAAAGCATTCATGTGAAAAAACAAAGTTTGTTAAAATCTGTCTTCCAGGTAAGCAAAACAACTCCTCAGACTAAATCAGGTATAGAAGATGATGAAATTATTGTAGCTGATTCTGTTTCAGTTCTTCTTTCACCACAATTTAGTAGGGATGAACACAAGAATTGTGAGCTTTCCCAGGACCAATCTTGCAAAGAGTCTGAGAGGACATTATTTAAAAGTGCATTGAAACTCATTGGTCTGGGAGAAGACTTCACTGGGTAAGATAGCAAATGATAAGCAAGCATCTGGATTTTTGAGCCTCTTTAAAACCCAGGTCAATCAAAAAGAATCACCGAACTTAGAAAAGGATGGTGACAGAAATAGAAAGGCTTCTCAGGAAAAGAAGGAATCTCCTGTTTCAAACTTCTTTGGTACCTTGGGGGATTTCTTTAAAACCCCCAATATACAGACAGCTGAAAATACATCTATTTTTTCAGTGACTAAGAGGATGAAGTCAAATCAAATCCTAATCTAGTACAGTTAACTAGCCAGGATGTTGGGAACTCTCCTGCTGCACCAGTTTCCTATAAAGGGAAGGTTAGATTTAGAAGTCTGAACAAGCAGACTACTATTGATAAAAATGGGGTCAAAGAACCATTGACTAGGAAGCTCCTGGGAAATAATTTTACTGAAAAAGAGGTACCCTCCAGATACCATCTAATCCAGCAGTCATCAAATCCATCTACAAGTTGTCTCAAAGTGTCTTCCAAAGATTCCTCAAAGGAAGCTAGTGTTGTGTCCACAGTGATAGAAGTATCAAGAAGTAATAAAATACCTTTTGATAACCTGAGCAGAAGAAATTCAAATGAACAAAATCACTTTTCTGACAGAGACTGGGTTTTTTCAACTGCCACAACATCTCCTTCCCAAAAAGAGTTACCAGTCAAAAAGAGTATATTTTCTTTCCTGACTGGATCTGAAAAATCTGAGAACAGAGCCTCTGTTACTCTACCAAGAATCAAATCTGAAGCAGAAGGGCTGTTCAGATTTCCTTCCCTTTTCCCCTCTACTAGCTCAAACAGCAAGAAGGATGCCTCTCATAGTATCTCTCCTTCTAGTTTCTTCAGCTTGTCCTTTTTGGATGAAAAGCGGGAGACTTCTGGGGAAAAACATAGTCTATCAACTGTTCCAGTAACTTCCCAACTTTGTAAGAAATCAAATGCTCTTGATGACACAATGACTGGAGAGGTTTACAATGACACTGGAGGGTGCATTGTTAAGGAGATAGCTCATGAACAGCAAATGGCTCCTTTTGTTTCCATCAGCAACACCATTGAGGTTACTGCCTCCTTTGCAGATGAGCTCACAGTAGAGAAGGACTATCAGGGAAAACTGAGCTCCATAAATAATGGGGTAGGGACATCTTTAGCAGAATTCCAGATGAATCAGTTACAAAAAGACTTTGTTCTTCATTCACCAGGATTTCAGGCACAGGCTGAAACACTCCTCATTGGCCTAGAAACCCTTGGGGTAGCTAGCTGTGGAGAAGAGACTTTCAGCCAGGAAGCCAAATCTTTTCCACATAATAGCCATTTGATTGAAAAGCTCAACAACTTAGAAACTTGTCCTAACAGCCACCAAAATGGAAGAGTTGCTAGTAAACCTCTGAACTTGCCATTTGAAAAGGCCCCTGATGAGGTCTTAGCACAGATCCTAGTGAGAAACACCTCCTCTGCAGAGCCAGGGTGTGCAGAGCACCACCAGAACCGAGATGCAGATAAAGAGGAAGACAAATCAGTTATGAGCTCTTCAGCAGAAATGCTTTCGGGGTTTGTCACCAAAGTGAAGTCTTTCTCTGGGTGCTTAATTGAATCTCCAAAAACTTTCTCTGGACTTTTCTCCTCTCTTAAATCTCCAAAGAAAAACTTGTTTTTCTCTCTTTCTTCTGGTGCACCATCTCAGCCCCTTAATAATGAGGTTTTTTTGAGTTTTCAAAAGTCCCAAACTAGAGACAGACAAGCAAGAATCATCTATCCCTGCTACTGCATGGCCTTAAAATGGTAGTTCCAGAGATTCTATAGGATCAGCACCTCCAGAAAGTTTGTGCGTAGTAGCTGCCTCTGCAGCACTCACTTCAGAATCTACACTCAGTGACTGTAGAATGACTGTGGTTAGTTCAGAGTTAGACTTGAAGACCTTGACAGATGATCCTAAACTAACAATCAAAAGAGAAAACAGTAACATTCCTGACAGTATTTCAGAACCCCAAGGTTCTGTCTCAGGTAATGATATTGGGCAAGGAGTATTATCTCTGAGTGAGGAAGGAGACATGGGGACATTGCAGGCCACAGACATGGAGGCATCAGTGGAAGCAGAGCATACCTCATTGCCAGCACAGTTGCTTGCAGATCCTACTTGGATTGCCAAAGAGCTTCCTCCTCCAGTTCAGCCACTTCTTGAGCCAATCTCAGCTATGCAGTCGGCCTTCACAAACCAAGGCATTTTGGAGCTACAGGTAACCAGTTCACAAGAAACCAATACTACGCTGTTCACTGAGGCAAGTGTCAGCCAGAGCACCACACTAGAAGCCCATGACATACTTGATTCACAGAAAGATCCACCTATAATCTCTCAGGAAAGAGAGCAGTCAAGACCTTAATATGACATCCCAAACATGTACAATTGGCCAAAGCTCCATTTTCCACCTTCTGCTACTGAAAGTGGGAAACCACTTAATTCTTTCTTCCCCCCATCTTCTTCCTCTGGCAACAGAGCAGCAGAAGCTGGTTTAATGTCCAGCTTTAAGAAGTCAACTCTGTTTGAGGGAGTTAGAGAGGGGAGAGGGAGTATAATGACAAGTGATCCAAAACTGAGGTATGAAAAGAAACTGGGTCTTTCATTCCTAAGGCTAAAAGAGAACCAAGGGCACCCTGAACAAATACATGCTGAATCCTCCTCTCCAGTTTTGGTTATCATCAGTGATCAGGACCTTGACTTTAGTAAGACTGACAAAGCTTTGGAGTCTTCTCATATGTCTGGAGCCAGTGTGCAGCCAGCTGAGGTTTGTACTCAGCTTTCTGGAGCCTCTGAGCACCTAGAGGCCAGGCCAAGTGTATGTCTTCGTGGGTTCTCAGGGCCAGGAGAAGTCGAAAACCAGCCAGAAACCCCAGCATCTGAGGAACACTGGGGTACCAAAAGCAATCTTTCTGACTGCACTCGTCCTTCTGGGAGTCATGAGGAAGAACCTTGCACTGCCTTCAAGTTACTTAAGCAGCCAGAACAAGAAGAGGCGGTGGTACCTGCTAGCACAGACTGTATTTCAAACGTACACCAGCCAGTTAATCTGCATGACATCAAGGAACCAGAGACCATCAAAAGGCCTGTTCTCAACTAAAGCATCATAAATGATTTTAAGGAATTGGCCATTTATGATGCAGATGACTTAGTGGTAGATCAATCTTAACCAGCTTTTTATCCTTCCTGTGCTGTTCTAGCACCTGAGCCTCATGCTATATAAGAGTTAATTAAGAAATAATGTGTGGGTTTTATTGTTCCCTCTCTTCTCTATAGAGTCAAATGCAATTCATTTAAGGAGCTTCCTGTGTAAAGCAAAGGCAGGAGGTGCTAAGATTTACTCACTCTGGTTTGCTCTCTGTCTTGTATAATGGAGAATTGAGAGCAGGAAGAGGCAGAATGTAGTGGCATATATTAATTACAGCCACATGATAGGCTAGGATGATTCGTTAGGCACTTATGTCTATCTCAATGGGGAGAGACCTACTTTGCTTTGCTTTGCTTTTTCAAGTCTTCTAACGTGCTTTCTCCAGTGGCAATGAGGGTATTAAGTATAGTACAAAGTATAGAGGATTGTTGGCTATAATCTATATTCTATAGCCTATTTTACATGGATTTGTATAGCTTCTTAGATATCAGTTTTTCTCTTTTACTACCCTTGAGATTGGTATCTGATATGTGCTTTAAGTCTTGCAGGAGTTTAGTGCTATTGTTGGGTGTAATTCTTCAGTTGAAAACAATGTTCAGAGTCCATCTGCAAAGGGTGCTAATATTCTCCTTAAAAAAGAGCACTGTATGGTACAACTTAAGAATGCTGCCATGACTTTTGGCCCAAAATGTGTCCAAAGGACTGGTTAGGAGCTCTAGGGATTTTGTGTGTGTGTGTGTGTGTGTGTGTATGTATATGTGCGTACTCAGAACATGACCTGCGTTGCTGCTATGGGATGAAGTCTCAACAATCAACTTGAAAATACCAGGTAATTGGGAGGAATCATAGCGAAAATCTCACCACAAGCCCTTTAGTTCGAGACCCAACTGTGGTGAGGACATGCATTGTCCTTTTGCCTGGAGGCTTTCCAGTGGGATATCAGAAATAAAATGAGGGCTTCTGATTTGGGTCAGATGGGCTGGGATATCCAAATGAGCTGGGATAGGTCATGGTAGCTCATCACCACTTTGCATCTTGAATAGGGCTGAATCCCTTAGATTCAATTTATGACTCAATAACCTTTGGATATTGTTCTTTTTTTCAGACCATTGTTTACTCCCATTTTCTCTGCAAGGTTGCTGTCTTAGAGCAGGGGAACAAATTTCCCTCCTGGACATGGGAATTCTGGGGGTTGAAAGAGGGTTTGATTGGCCTGACTTCAGGTAGAGATGCTTTAATATGACTCTAACCTGGATCTTGGAATTGGACTTTGCCCTACTTTATCCAAAACTGAACCATGGTGTGAGACCGACAGGTGGGCAAGTTCATCCTTAAGACACTCGCCTATGCTGCCAGGAATATCATTGTAACATTATTGTCCAGGACACCATTTTTTTTTTTTTTTGAAGAATTTTTTGGTTCTAGCCTCCATCTCCCAATGGCTTCCACTACCTCGTCCCACAGATGGCTGAGAAATAATTGAAGGAGCATGTCCACTCTTCTTTGCTCATCCTAAGGAATTCATATTTATACTTGTGGAGGAAAAAAGGGGGATATAAATTTAATAAAGAATAAGAAAAGGGAATAGAGTTCATTCATCCATTTCATTATGTGGAATTAGGAAGTTTAATAAATCACAGCCACTGGACATATTTTTAGAAGACCAAGCAAAGGATTTTGGGTATAAGCAAGAGACTGTTTTAATAATTCTTAATTCCACTTATAAATATCACATTAAGATACTCTTTAAAATCACTTGCAGTGTTGAGGTCAAGTGCTGTTGAAGAACCTAGCATGTTGTGTTTTTTGTTTGTTTTTCTGGTTGTGTTTCTGCTGAATAGATTAGTTTCTCTAGACTGTGAAGTTTGGTCCTTTCTTCCTGGGAACCTCTTGTTTTTGATTCTTGCCACTTATATAATCATTCTTTCCTGGATTTACCCACGCTTTTCCCTGGTCCCTAGTTTGCATCTATTTACTCATCTGTCTTCCTTTCATCCTTACAGCCCCACCAGCAGTAGTAGGTATGGCTCCTCCTGCAATGTGAGTCAAGGAAGCTCTCAACTCAGTGAACTAGACCAGTGCCATGAACAAGACGATGACCATCAGGAGAGGGACTCAATTCATTCCTGCAACAGCTCAGGCAGCATCTCCAGAGATGGCCATGCAGGTTTTGGAGAACAAGAGAAGGCCCTAGAACTAACAGGTGAATCAGAGAAGGGGAGAGTATGTGAACCCAAGGAGATGAAAGAAGTTGCTACAACTCATCATCTCCCAGATCTGGTGCTACACAATGATCACGTCTTGAGTCCCAAAGAGAGGTAGGTGATGACTGACTGAGGAGCTCTTAAGATTTCCTCAGCACCTGCCCCGTGGTATTGCTGAGTATGTGTCTTTTTTAATTTGTCCCTGTGTGACTGCATATGGTGGTGATCAGGATACCTAGGTTCAGCTCTGTACTGCTTCTTTTGATTTTTGGTGTAATTCCCAAGATATTTTGAAAATCTCTAAAGACAACAAATGGGTTCTTTGTAGTTAGCTGCCGTGCACCAAAACTTCTTTAGTCTGCATTTATTGACTTAACTTGTTGACCCCACATATGGCAGTTTCTGAGTCATCAAAACTGGAACTGACTTGAGCCTTGCAAGTTATTTCATTCAGAGGAGCTGGTTTGAGCCGGCTTCCTAGCCTGTTAATATTTTAACTTTTCTTATGAACATTGTTTTGCCTTTTTTCCCGTATCTGTGAAAACTAGTACAGTTAAGAAGTTTTGGTCTAGAAGCCATATCTAACCTAACCTCTGGCAGTGTGCCTGGCAATTATTACCCATAAGAAGAAAAAAATATAAACTTGTTCTTGTGACTGTCTTATAATGGTGTTTATTTTTTTTTTTAATTTTTTTTTAATATTTATTTATATAAGCACTGGGTACAGTCAGAAGCGCGGGAGCATGAGAGAATTCACCAGAGCGGGGAACAGAACAGGCAGACTGATGATATACACTGCTGAGGGGAGCAGTGGGTGGCAGGAGAGATCTGTGACCATGTGGGACCCTCACCGGTGACCAGGATCGAACTGGTGCTGCAGAGGCTGTGGGCAGCCTTGCAACCCAGTGCTCAACCGCTGCACCACCGGGAAGGCCCTTATAATGGTGTTTAATATAGAGCTTGAGTGTTGTTATTATTGAGCTAAATTAGTCAGTACAGTAACTGATATGTTTGGACAGAACAGGGTTTCTCAGACTTGGCACTCTTGACATTTGGGGTCACATAACAATTCGTTATGGGAAACTATTGAGTATAGTGAGGGATGTTTAGTAGTATCCCTGGCCTCTATGTACTAGATGTCAATAGCAGTCCCCAGCTGTGACAGCCAAAGATGTCTCCAGATGTTGTCAGATTTCTCTGGTGAGAAGGGGGGACAAAAAGGTTTAGTTGTTGATGTAGCTCCCCAAATTTCAAAGTCTAATAATAAAGCCTCTCACTGGAATATTAGAACAGTGAATGCTGATTACATGGTGAAAGTAAGAGAATGGTTAGTGTCTCTACTTCCCATGAACATGCAGACTTACTTTCCCCTTCATTTTTCCTGACTTTAAGTCATCTCTGATGGCTCATCTAATAGACATTCAGGATACTGTGCTCTGAACCAGCTATTTAACTGGATTAATGATCCACTAAAGCTCTTAGAATTGGCAGATACTGTTGTCAGGGTAGGGTTCTTGGTAGAGCAGCACAAGTGCCCAGGGTGAGTATTTGTTCTTCTCTACTGACTGTATCCTCTTAGATCTTAGCTGTGTGGGTCAAATCCAGCTCTACCTTGGCTAGAAGTATCCACCAATGTTGCAGAACAGTTGACCCAATTAGATGGCGTCAGAGCCTAACATACATTTTACATGTTTAGATGGCAGCCACTTGTCTACTGCCTTGGCAATAGAGGGAGGCAACAGTGGGAGGGAGAAGAAGCATTATCACCAATAACTAGCCTCCTTTCCACAGTTAGGAACTTTGCTGATGACTTATTTTAATATAGGGTAGTGTTTTTGTTTCAAGGGTACTTTGTTAAATTTATTGTTCATTTCACTGAGGTATTGCTAAGGCAGCCCAAGGAACAAGATTATAGCAGGTATTATATTTTTCTTAGTCTTTTGCTGTAGTCTAGGAACTGGTAAATCTTCCAAGTTATTTAATGGGTCAGCATGGGTTTACAGGGACCCTCAAAGGAGTCCCTTGAAGGGAGACTGGTGGTCTTGAGAGGGAGGGTGAGCGCGCCAGTCCCTACTTCTCTGCATAGTTTCAACCCGAGCCCTTGACTCAGGGCCCTTACTATTGCTTTTGGTGTCTTGACCCCTGACTGTCCTAGTGCCCCATTGGGTGAGTAAAAAAGGGTGAAAGTACAGATGAAAAACTAAAAAGAGCTGTTATTTTAGGGAGGAATTGTTTTTACATTGGATATTCAGAACTATGTTGTTTCAGTGGCCTGAATCACTAAATAAGAATAAGCATGAATATAAACCATTTTATTTTAGATATTTGGCAGTCTTGCCTTGAACACTGTCACATTGTGGCCTTGACTCTTGTTAAGAGTTCTTTTCTTTGTTACAAGTTTTCCTGAGGAGAATGCATCTTCACCATCTACCCATGCCAGAGCACACTGGATCCGAGCAGTTACCAAGGTTCGACTCCAGCTGCAGGAGGTAGGAAATCTGTTGTTCTAGAACTAGTTGGGACAGTTTTTCCTTTGAAACTGAGAGACATATGGTGCTGGGGCAGCAATCAGTGATTAGTCATCTTCTTACAGTGTACTTCTGGTAATGCATGACAAGTAAAGTAGAGCCTTAAAAGAGGAGCGGCGGCTGATGGCTCCCTTTTATGCTGATGGATGGAGAGCAGATAGTCCTAGTGGGTGAGGGCCTGAAGGTAAAATTAAATGCTTCTTTTTTAGTGTTATCAACTTGAGACCATTTCATTTTGGGTTTAGTATTTCAAGAGCTCTTATTAGTCAGTTGTTGTCTTCCATGTCTAGCCAGTTCAAGTGCCACTGTCAGGAATACAGGGGCTGAAATTTTAGTATATGTGCTGTCGAAGCAAACATAGGGGCCGAAATTTTAGTGTTCATTAATGCCTGTGAGCTTCCCTGAACCAATGTGAAAGAGTTAAAAAGTAAAGAGAAATATTTTTCATTTTCGGTGTTGTAAGTTTGAAATGTCCTTATCTGTATGTCAGTAAGTCATCAGGCCTCAAGTAGAAAGGACATATTTAAATGGCAAGTGGTTATCATTGCCCTTCATGCATTATGAGTAATCTTTTTCTGAACCCTTTAAGAGAAAGTTGGAGAGATGATAGTCTGTCTCTTCTATATATTCCTGTTTGTATTTCCCTCCCTCACCAAAAAAAAAAAAAAAAAAAAAAAAAAAACCTAACAAAAAACAAGGCTATGTAACTACAGTATAACCGTCCAAACGAGGAAATCAATAATGACATTTTTAACACCCTATGCAGATTTTGCCAGCCTTTCCAAAAGTGTCTGTTTCTTTTCTGGTCTAGGATAAAATCAAGGCTAAGATGTTGACTTTACTAGTAATGTCTCTTTAGTATTTTTTTAACTCAGAATAGTTCCTCAGTCTTTCTCATCTTCAGGAGATTTTACAGGCCTTTCATTTTGTACCATGTTCTGCAGTTTGGATCCATCCATCCAGTGTTTCCTGATGTCCAGATTCATGCCATGCTTTCTTGGCAGGAACTGCAACACAGTGATGCTGGACTCTTTTTAGTGAATTGCATCAAAGTATTTGGTGTCATTCTGTCCTACCCCTTATAACATTGATAATACCTTTAATCACTTGATTAAGATTTTATCATCCAGGTTTCTCCCTCAAGGCACCATTTTCCCCCTTGTGTTTGATAAGGGTATGGTGATACATTACTCTGAGGCTATGCCAATATCTTTTTCTTCTTCAAGTCTCCACCTATTGATGAAATATCTATTAATGACTCCTGTCAGAAACTAGCACCACTAATGGTGGTTGCCAAATGTTAGCTTTCTATTTGCATTATCCTTTTTATATTAATTAGTTGGCATGCTACTGTAAGGAAGAGAATTCCCTTTTCTCCCATCAGTTATATCCATTACTATTACAATGAGTTATATCCATTACTGTCATTTATTTATTTATTTATTTTTAAGATTTATTTTATTTTTATACAAGAGCTGGGGTACAGGCCAGAGGCACGGGAGGGTGAGAGGATTCACCAGAGACAGCAGGGAGCAGAACAGGCAGACGACAGAAATACACTGCTGAGGGGAGCAGCGGGCGTGACAGGAGAGGTCTGCCGCACCATGTGGGATTCTCGCCCGGCAGGCCAGGATCGAACCCGCACTGCAGAGGCTGCAGACAGCTTCACAGCATGGCGCTCAACTCGCTGCACCAACAGGGAGGCCCCTACTGTCATTTATTTTGATGCTTAAACTAGACTAACTTATACAAGCACTCTTAATTTTATCTTTCAGAGAGAAAATGTTTTAATAATGATTGAAAAGGTAGCTGCTTGAAGAATGCACTTTGAATGCAGATATTGGAAAATGTTTCAGAGAGAGACCCCTTATCAGAAATAATGAGTTTTACCTATGAAAACTTATAATTATATATTCTAAAATCTTGGAGACTATAACATATTCAAACTTTTTCTAATGAAATCTTTCAGCGAGGTTTGAATTTACTTGTTAAGTATTTTAAGATGTTGCTGATTTGTAAGATATCAGAGTAGATGAAAACTTATTTGCCAAATTTCAACAAAATCTTGGAATAATTAGTATGTCGAAACCAATAATATATCTTTTATTTGACTCATATAGCTGTATTTTTTTCCAGCTGTGCCAGTTATGAAAACTAAGCATTGAAATAAATGATATAGAAATAGTCTTTCAAATAATTCTATAACAAAATATTAAATCAACATTTAAAATATGAGGCCTATTGTATCACATTGCTTCCACTAAAAATACCACTAATATTTTTAGTGACAGTAAAACATTTTTGTATCATTAATAAATTAAAATTTTTTGTTTTATGTGTTTTACATTTTAATATTTATAGTGTAATATAGTTGTACATGTATATAATTTTTATATGAAAAAGTATACATATTTTGAGAGATGTTTGCTAGAAAAATTTCTATGGATATGGCTAATTGGGAGCCAGTTAATGTAGACTGACATGAGATAAGCTAATATTTAAAGTGGACATTTATGAAGTCAGTGTTGTAGTGCTTGTTCATTTATTCTTTCTTATTTTGCAGAAGTAAAGGTCTCAAAGCCCTTATTATAAAATAACTTCCATGTAAAAGAAAAAATCTGAAAGAAAAAAAAGAATTTATCAGAGCAGACGCAATCTAAGTTATGATTTTTTTTCCTTTAAGAGGCAATTCAGTCTCAAAAAAGCTAACAGTTGCCAAATCTTGGAATTATTTAGAGAAAAACATCATTTATTTAAGAGTAACTAAGAACCATTGAAAAGTAATTGAATAAGAAAACAATAGCAAGGATATTCTTAAGTCTGGTAATGTAATTGGAAGCCAATCAGATGTGGTAAAGAGGAGAAATAGAAACCAGAGTTTAAAAAAGGATCTGATAACAGTTTAATATAGAGCACAAGGGTTTATGATAAAAGTACATCATTTAACCTTAAAAAGGGATTTGCTGACAGATTGAGTTTGTGAGATAGTAAGAAGTATAGCACCAAGCATTTCTTTTTCCTGGGTAATTCAGAGTTCTATCCAGTCACCCCTTAATGTTCATCCCCAAGATAAAAACTTTATCTTTCTAGTTTTTCTGTGAAAGTACAAGCCCAAATGTATATTGGTTCGAATCTACTCCCCACCTTTTTCCCAAATGGTGGTATGTTATGTACACTGAGTATATTTTGCTCTTTTACTTGGAGTTCTATATTGTAAGAAAAATTTTCTTTTTAACCATTATATAATATTCTAATGTATTAATATACTGCAAGTATTAAACTGTTGACATTTTGGGGTTTTTTTTCCTAGTCATTTGCTATAACAAACCATATTGCAAATGGATACTTTTACATAAGTCATTCTGCATGTGTACAAGTATATCTGAAGGGGATATGCATTTGTAATTTTGGTAAAAATTGCCAATTTGCTCTCCAAAGATTTATTTTGCTCATGCTGTTTGTCATTTACATGTCAAGGGGTTCTGTTCCAACATCTACAAAGTTGCCATTATTGGTAGAGAGGGAAAAAGATAACACAGGCAAGAGAAAATAGCTGATTGCACTCTGTAATATGTATCACTCTTGTTCACATTTCCCTGCTAAAGCAAATCATAAGTTCAAATGAGCAGTATAGTATAGATGTACTATAAGGTTTCTACAGTTTAGATATTGTAGAAAGAGATAGTGAAGGATATTTATGAACAGCTTTAATTACTACCCCAAGGGTTATTTGCCTTTCACAGAAATTGTACCAATTTATACTCCTAGTAATGTCATAAAGGTGCTTTTTTCCCAAAGCTACCAGTAGTAAGTTTGGTATTTTCAGTGGTCTGTTAGAAAATAGTGTCTTAGTAGTTTAAATTTGCATATTGTATTATTAGTGAAGTATGTTTTCATATAAGTAAAGGTTATTTGTATTTACTTTTCTGTGAACAATCTATTAGTTCTTTGCCTGTTTTTCTGGTGAGCTTTTGATTTCTAGGAGCTTTTTATTATTTCAGGGAAATTAACTCTTGCCTGTGGTGTGAGTTGCCAATAATTTTCCTAGTATATCATTGCAAGAAATTTTTTAACCGTAATGAGCCACATTTACCTAGTCCAGAAAACCAGAATTTACCTATTCCAGAAAATTTAGGTTTATAAATTATCTAGTAAAACAATGATTTGAAAAGAGGAATTCGGGAAAAATGTGCTTCAGTGACTCCAATGTTACCTTCATGATCAAATAAAACCTTTACTATCTAACTTAGTGTGATTCAAAGTGTGTCCTGTGAACTAAAACTGTTTGTTTCAAGTCTTAGATGAAATAAGTTCTGAAATTAAAGTTGAGTGTTTAGAAGAAATTTGGATTGCCATGACATTAAGTGCATGATCAGTGGCCCTGTGTCACTAAACAGTGTATAGACCGAAAATATGAATGCTTGTCATAATGGAAATAAAAAATCAGATCGTTCGCAAAAGAATTTGAAAAGTATTGATACAGAACCTACATGCCTTTCCAGTCTTATCTTTTTCTACTATTCCGTTTAGTCAACACTTTCAACATAGGGGATTATTTATTTTCAATAAATAATTGCCGACAGATTATTTATTATTTATTATTATTTATTTATTATTTATTATTTATTTTGCACCTGCTGTATCTCATGCATGGAATACTCTTTCTCTTTGTCAACTTAGCTAACTTTTCATCCACATTTTTTAAAACTCAGTCAGGTGTCAGTTTTTGGGGGTAAGACTTCTTAGACTCTGAGCATACTGTTTCTAGATTGACTTTTACCGTGAGGTGATGGAGTTACTTGTTTACTGTTACATCTTTTCTATATACCTGTAAGGTTCTTGACTGCCAGAGCTATCCTTTTTATCACTGGTCTCTAGAACCAGTACAGAACTTGGCAAAGTGTTTAGTCAACCTTTTATGGATATTTAGCAAGAAGTACCCATCATCATTTCCACAGAAA